TCGCTGGCTGAGGGGGCCCCTAAGGCTCCTGCTGGAACAGATTGGAAGGAATGAAGGGCGGGCTTCCGCAGGTCACTACCAATAGATGAATACCTCACTGCCCTGGCCCCCTGGGTACAGGTCCCCACCCCCTGGCCACCAAATGGCAGGGGCAGAAACAGCCACCGAGTTGCTGGGCCAGGGCCGGGGCTTCCTGGCCCGCGCTCCGGGAGCTGCAGCTTTTCTCTGCCTCTTGCAAAAGTTCTCCATGTCTTAACGTGAGCTGCTTATTAACCAGCGGGTATCAGGGCACAGGGAGGGGACAGCCAGCACACGCTCCATCGCGAGAGCCTATAATTCAGGAAGAGTGCGGGTGAGGCTGACGTGTGCTGCCCAGGAGACACAGGTGGCCTTGCAGGAGGGAGCCAGGCCGTCAGCCCCATGCCAGGGCATCAACTGTGGGGCCTTCAGGGGCAGCTGAGGCAGCCAGGGGTCCACAGAAGAGGCCCCCACGGGACCAGGACATCATGAGTAGCTTGAAGGCAGCTGGTGACATCTCAGTTGGTTGGGAATAAGGCACTGCCCTGACAGTCCCCTGTCAGAGCTATGAGTGGAGGGACCCTTTCCATTCTCCACCACTATCCTCTTCTGCCAAAGAAACTTCCAGAAAAGGCCTTGAATGAACTACTCAGATCCTGGACATCCTCTTCTGTCTCCTCCAATAAGCCGCTGTTGACGGTTCCCTGGCTGCAGAAGCCAACGGGCTCCACCAGCCAGCGGTCCCTGGGGTCAAACCAAGGATGGAGAGCAGCCCCGGGCCTGTGGCCTGTGAGCACTGCCAGGGCCCTGGTGGCTTCCTGCTGCATGCACTGAGATACGGCTTAGCCAGGCTTCAGTTGGGCCACAGTGTCGCAGGTCTTAGGTTTCAGGCCAGCCAGCTGCATGGAAGGGAAATGGCCGGGGAACTGCTCCCACTTGGCCCCGCTCCACGCGAGGGAGGCTGGGAGGAGACCGAGCCTAGAGTGCTGGTGCCTTAAACATCACCATATAAACACAGCCCCAGCGGCCGCCTGCGGAGTCCCCGGTGGAGGGGACCAGAGGCCAGAGAGGCTGTCCTGACTTACCCTCCACCGGGCTCTGCAAACACAAGCCACCGGGCCTCATCTATCACCTGGGAAGCTAAACAACTTCCTCCGATGGTCTTGGGAAGCATAAATCAAGAGGGCCCCAGCTTCTGAGAAACCTGTACACAACTGCAGCCCACGCTTGTCCTCTTCGCCCTTCCCCGTCCTTTCAGAACGGTGCTGACCAGTCACAGCTGCCGATGTACGGAGCAGATGGACCTCAGAAACCTTTCTCTCGCCCCCCTTTTTCAGGGTCTCACTACGTGGTTCAGGCTGACCTTGAACTCACTCAGGAGCCCATGCTGGCCTTGCGCTTCATGATCTCCTGCCTCAGCCTCCCGAGTCCTTACAGGTGTGCATTACCACGCCCAGCTTGTTACTCCACTCCTCCGAACCTAGCTCCGAACCTATAAATGGTTAGTGCTGTATCTGCCTCCCAGAGTTCGCTGGGAACTCAGTCAGATAACTGGTCGCAAGGCTCAGGGTGCTTGGGGAATGGCAGCTGCTGCACCCCTGGCTTCAACCACTGAAGCCAGGGACAAAGTTGGAGAGGCAGCCACCCTTTGACCCCAGCCCTATCGCAGAGGCCGGGCGCCAGGGCCTCAGTGCTGCATAGCGTCCAGGCACTGGTCTCCTGCCCTCCCTGCTGCTAGGTCGGTGCCAGGCCTGGTTACACTTGGCAACCTCCGTGGCTTCCAGCTTGTCTGAATTCTCCCCGAGAAACCCAGTGGGTATTGTAACCTGCCGGAGCAGGCAGACCTGAACATGCTGGTGTGGCGGTGAGGGATCCTGGAGGACATCATCATCCAGGAGTTCTGGGGAGGCCCGGAGAGCTGTGCGCTGCGCAGAGCCCACGTTTCAGACCAGCGGGGAGTGCACTTCACTTTACACTTTTTCCTCTCACACATACACCCTCAATGGTGTCGTGACCTGTGTCAGGGACCTGCCTGGCTCCCCATCTGTCAGGTAAAGAGTGACAGCTCTTCCATGTGGAAGCGGTGGACACCACGGTGGCTCCTGCAGGGCCTGAGCCCGGCCCGGGAACGCGATCTGGGTAATGGGTGACGGAGCAGGCACAGAGAGGGCGGGCTTCTGGCTCCTTCAGCGGCAGCGGGACACCCTGGGGCACATGGCATGGTAGGCGGGCAGGCACGAGGGGAGTCCACTGCCCTTTGTCCCTGTTTGCTCTCGGAGAGGGCGCTGCCAGCCCTGCTCTGCTGTCCCCGAACCTCTGCCGGGTTTGCTGGCTGGTCAAACATTCTCAGGGACCTGAGGCGACCTGTGGCTGCAGGGTGACAGGCAGAGAGAGACCTCACAGGGCAGGACCAGTCAAAGGGCACCGGGAGGCCGCTGTCATGACAAGGCAGGTGTGGGGCTCCATGGGTGTGGGGTGTGGCTTCCGGCTCTTCCTCCTGCCCCAGGAAGGCTTATTATTAACCATTCCCATGCTGGGCACCCCGGTACTGGGACCCCAAAGGAGCTGAAGAAACACAAAAAGCAGGTGCCAAATCTGTGGTTGTCCGGGGAGGTGGGGCACCCTCCTTCTTCACCACTGTTTTTTAAGGCTGCTGAGCTTTGAACCCAGGGCCTCACTCATGCAAGGAAGTATCCACCACAGAGCCCCGGCCCTGGTCCTGCTCTGCTCTCATGGCAAAGCTTCCTGTACTTGCACTTGGTCCTTCTGTTGCGTGGGCACGTGCGTACGTGCGTGTGTGTGTGTGTGCGTGCGTGCGTGCGTGCGTGCGTGTGTGTGTGTGTGTGTGTGTGTTAGAGACAGCGTCTCACTCTGCAGTTCAGGCTGGCCTTGAGCTCACTTTGTAGCCCAGGCTGGTCTTGAACTCCCAATGATCCTCCTGCCTCAGCCTCCCCAGTGCTGGGATGACAGGTGTGCGTCACCACGCCTGGCTGTCTTCATTCTCCTGAACGGAGCTACAGGGTCTCGGACAGACTGAGCCAGGAAAACCACGTTTCCTGGGACCAGCCGCAGGCTTCTCTTCCCCACTGTAAGCCGGCCCGTGCTCCCTGTCCCCTTCACCTCACGGAGGGCACCACCTCTGCCAGCTTTCCCCACCCCCACCCGGCTGGCAGGAGAGCCCTGGAAGGTCAGAGAGAAGCATCCTTCCCTTTGGAAAATAAACAAATCCAGCCATGTGCTGGCGGACTTAGGGTATATTAATAGCCAGATATGTTGTTTTCCTATTCTGGTGCTTATCCCCTTCCACTAGGATGGGAGATAAGAGGACACAGAATGTTCTCCGCCCGCCACGCTCTCCCCTCCCCGGGAGGCCAGCTACTCTGTGTAAAGCCATTGCCGAGGTGCAGAGAAAAGAGACCTAAAAATTTATATGCAGTCTCTCCTGGCCACTATTGCTGCTCAGCATAGAAACTCTATAGTGTTTAAACCCTCCAGGCCAAGGGGTTGCATGGCAACCTTCAAAACTAGGAAATGCCCCAAAGCAAAAACAAAGGCATTGGGCATGAGGACAGGGTCCCACAGCCAGCACAGAGGAGACTGTCACTGGGTGGGCTGCCCTTCCGTCACGTTTTAGTGTGCACCCTTTTAGTGTGCTTCCCGCAGTCCAGGTCCCACAGTGCTTATCCACGCTTTCTGGTGGAGGAGGAATCAAAAGGCCTGGAACCATAATGTCCTGCTGCCCCTGAACCTAAGGAAAGTTCCAGACTAATCCATGTACAGCCCTAACAATTTTCCTCCTCCTGAGAAATCCAAACAGGACAGGGCCAGGTCCTTCAGTGCAGAAGGCACGAAGGTCAGAGTGAGTGTGCTGGCGTGAGGGTGGAAACAGGCTGCAGGGATACACTTCAAGGACAGAGAAAGGGGCCCACAAGCCAAGGCATGCAGGCAGGGCGGCCTCTAGAGGCCTCCAGCTCTAGAGGCTGGGAAGGGAGCTGGATCCTCCTCCCAGGGACCCTTGTGGGAACCCAGCCAGGCTGACACCTTGACTTTCTCCTGCTGAGACCCACTGGGGATTGCCGACCTGCGGAAATCTTGGGTGATACACCTGTGTTATTTAAGCCCTGGAGTTTGTGGTAACCTGTTACAACAGCAACAGGAGGCTACAGAAAACCGAGGTCCCCTGCAATGGACCTGCTGTTAGTTCACAGGCAGGCACTTGGTTCTCCAGGGCTGGGGCCAGAGCACTGGGAGCCAAGGGGTCGCCCTCTGCCTTCTGATGAATTTGTGCAGGGCAGCAGGGCCCTGGGACACTGGCTATCTCAGGATCATAGATCAGGCTGCCTAGTTAGTCAAATGCTGCTCAGTAACAAGGTTGCTCTTTCCTGCCTCTTGATGGGGCGGGCTGATCAATGTGCTGACCCACAGGAAAACAAATGTGCTCAGATGTTTTTCCTGCTGTACAACCTGTGGCCCAGGCAACCCAACCAGTGACTTAGAAAGATCTCAGACTGCAAAGGGAAACTGGAAGACAGAAAAACAAGTCATCTCCACCTTGTAGTATACGTCAGAGACTTCAAGTCTTCTGCAGGCACGTTTGCCTTTTCTTGGTCTATTCTCTCTCTCTCTCTCTCTCTCTCTCTCTCTCTCTCATTCTCTCTCTCTCTTTTGAGGCAGCATTTCATTATATGGTTCAGGAAACCTTGAACTCACTATGTAGCCCAGGCTGGCTTTGAACTCACAGTGATCCTCCTCCTCTCCCAAATGGTGGGATTACAAACATGTGCCACTATGCCTGGCTTTCTCTGTTTGTTCTCTGATGAAATGTCTCCTAAGGGGTCTGGGGATTTAGCTCAGCGGCATAAGCACCTGCCTTGCAAGCAGGCGGTCGTGAGTTCGATCCCCGGTACCGATAAAAAGGAAAAAGACAAAAAAAAAAAAAAAAAAGAAATGTCTCCTAAGCGCCTTCCTACAGGAGCAGATAAAATCCTGATTTTCAATTCAAAGAGAACATCATGGAATTTCCTAAGTTTCCTGCCTCCCAGACACACAAGTACTAGAAGACCATAGTTTATGCAGCCCCTGAGACATTTCTAAGTTGCAAGAGCCATGGCTTCTACTTTATAATCCGGGACCCTGGATTATAGAGAGTGCAAGCAACATGGACAGAGTCCCACAGCAGATGCGAGGGATTCAACCAAAGCCCAAGGCAGCTCTGAGCCCGAGTGTCCCTGCCCTGATGCCCTGGCGGCTGTCTTGGGCCTTCGCCAAGCAGGTCCGGGAGCTGGCCTCTGGGCAGGTGGTCTCGGAGGGACGCAGAGAGGCACAGCCACTAAAGCTGTCATCGCGAGGCAGGCTGCTGATGGCCCGGGGGAAGATTTCCCAGACCACAGCTTTGCTTTGCTCTGCGCGTCTGATGTGTGTGCATGCTTGTGTGTGCACATGTGTGTGTCTGTACGGAATCAGGAAGAGCACAGGTGTTGAACAACTGCCAGGTCAAGGTGTCCTTTCGGCCGCATGCTAAACCTGCTATGAACTTTCATTTTTCCCAGCCCCGTCGAGCCCTCGCCCAGCTTCTCTCCCATCATCTCCTGATTCCTCCCTCCCTTCCCATTCTTCTGAGAGGGCCTGGAATCTAACTTTAGGAGCAAAGCTAATAGAGTCCCCAAAGTGGCTGCCAAGGGACTGGGCTGGCTTCTGTGAGCGGCCGCTGAGCCCTCGGGTCCAGAGCTCTGGGTGCCCAGCGCCCCGTGCAGACGGCGAGCACCTCCTCTGGGCTCTGGGCCCTGCACTGAGGGGACCCTGCACCGCCACCTGCACTGCTGCACTGCAAGTTCGTGACACTCAAGGACCAGGAAGGGAGGCTGATTTTCCTGAAGGCACTAAGGGAGACGACAGAGGGAACTGCTTTCCAAGGTGCCGCGGGGTTCAGGTATTTTAAAAGTGTTGCAGATGCCCTGGGATGGAGAGGCTAAGTCGATGCCCTCTCTTAGGCTCCCACCTCTCTTAGGGCCCGGAGTGGGCACAGGGGTGCCACGGGCCCTGCGTTCTGTCAGGCAAAGAGCCAGAGCAGCAGCTGCCAGGGAGACAAAGTCAGCGGCCGCAGTCTGAGGGGGAGGTGACCCAGCAGCACGGAGGGGCTCGGGGTGCCCAGAGGAGAGGGTGGGCAGAAGGGCTGAGGCCCCCTGCGGAGGATGGCCAGTGCCCTTTCCTCAAAGTCCTCAAAGCGGGCTGGGGCTGGGGCACAGCCTGTTCCCCCTGACCCCGCCTGTCCCCCTGACCCCATTGTTCCCCCTCCCCAAACTCAAATCCACCCATGCCTGGAACACTCCTTCCTGGTGCTGTCCCCACAGATGCACCCCCAGGGTGGTGGGTGACACAGAGGAAAGGGTCCAACTGCCCAGGTGACCTGGCAGCCAGGGTCAGGTCCTGGATGGACAGAGAAGCCAGACTTCTTCCTAAGCTTAAATTTGGGGAAGACGCCAACATCTGAGAACCCACAGATAGTAAAGTCTGCCACCTAATGGAGATGCACCCCGAAAAAAAGTGTGGCCAAGGCCACCAAGAGCCTTTGAGTCCTAGGCTCCCCCTACCCCCACATCCTCTTTGCACAGGGCAACTGGGGCTCCGGCACCTGGCACCCTGCTGCCACAGGGCCAACCCAAGACTCCAGGGGCCTCCAATCGGGCTAAAGAGTGTGAACCCAGAGGCAATGGCCTGTGGGATAGGGGCACCAGGGCCTGTGTCCCGGCCGGGGGTGCACGGAGGTCACACTCGGGACAGGTCACTCACATACCCGGAGGGAAGAATACTTCAGAGTCCGAGGCTACTCTCTGGATCCCTCAGAGAGCTTCTAATGCCCGGCTGGATAGTTCAGATTTCTTGGGGACCCAGTGGAAATAGTCCAGATCCTTTATTCAGTTTATAATTATGCAATTTTTAAAAAAATTGGGATAAAATATGCATGCTTTCAACTACTATTTTCAAGTGGTTCAGTGGCAATAGGTGTATTCGCAGTTACATAAGCATTCCAGGTGTGCAAAATTCTTACCCAGATGATCACAGCAAGGTGACCTTGCTGTGAAGGGCTTGCTTAGGCTTCCTTTGTGACATCTCTCCTAAAGTATAACATCCCTAAAAAGGGTGCTGACTAGTTTTTTTTTCTGAGATAGAGTCTCGCCCTGTAGTCCAGGTTCACCTCAAACTCTCTCTGAGGCCAGGCTGGCCTTGAACTTGCAGTGACACTCCTGCCTCAGCCTCCTGAGTGCTGGGATTACAGGCATGTACTACCATGCTCGGTTAGGGAAATGACTTGAGAAAGGCTGAGGAGGGGACCAAGGCGGTAGGGAGACGGGTGGGGTGGTGGAAGCCAGTGAGGAGGCTGCTCCATTACTCATTCCTCAATCCCATCCACCTTCAGTTCTGACCTCTCCCTGAAACGCCAGGTTCCTAACACAGCCCTTAGCTGACAGCTCCTCTGAGCCACCAGCCAGCGGCCTGCAATACTCAGGCTTCCCGGGAACAAAGGAGAATCCGCCCACCCTACTGCAACCTGCTCCTCCTTAAGTTTTACAACTCAACACACAAAAAAAATCTGACAGTCATCCTTGATGTTCCAATATTTCTCAGGAAGATTTAAGCAGAATAGTCTTAACAAAATACTAGCAAACTGAACCCAGAAACACAGAAAAATAATCATATACTATAACAAAAGGAGATTAGCAGAGGAAATCAAATTGGGCATGGTGGCACACGCCTATAATCCCAGCACTTGGGAGGCGGAGCTCAAGGCCAGGCTGAACTGCACAGAGAGACAAAAAAAAAAAAAAAAGTCCTACAGAATCCATTTTAAAAAAACTACTAGAAGTAATCAATGAATGCAGCAAGGTTAAACAGGGCACAACATCAACATATAAAAGTCATGTTTTGTTAATTAGCAATGAACAATCTGAAAATAAAATTCAAAGAGCAATTCTACTTATAATAGCATCAAAAGGAATAAAATAATAAATTTAACAAAAGTTTTTTTTGGGGGGTGTACCGGGGATCAAACTCATGACTGCGCACTTACAAGGCAGGCGCTTATGCCGCAGACCTAAATCACTGGCCCTTCAGGCTGGTTTTGAACTCACAGTGATCCACCTGCCTCAGCCTCCCAAGTGCTGAGGTTACAGTCAAAACCTACTCTAAAGCTTAGGTAATCAGGATGACATAGTGTGGCATAAAGATATATATGTGTATATATTAAGACAGAGCTGAGAGCTCAGAAGCAAACCCTCACGTTAAGGTGAACCCATGTTTAATAAGTATGCTGAGAGAATTCAGCGTGTGCAGAGACAGTCCTCCAACGAACACCATTGTGAAAAGGACGGCCGTGAAAAAAAATGAAGCTGGGTCACTTCCACACACAGCAATGAATTTAAAGCAGGCCAGAGCCCTAAATATAAGAGCTAAAACTTAGGCTGGGGGCATAGCTCATAGGCAGAATGCTTGTCTGGCATTTATGAAGCTCTGGGTTTGATCTGCAGCACCAAAACCAAAACCAAAACCAAAAACACTCTTAGAAGAAAACAGGAGTAAATCTTTGTGGTCTTGCCTTAGGTAAAGCATTCTTAGACACAAAAAGAAAAAATAATTTGTACTTCATCAAAATTAAAGCCCTTGGGGCTGGTGATTTTGCTTAGCAGCATAAGCACCTGCCTTGCAAGTATGTGGTCGTGAGTTCAATCCCTGGTACTGGTAAAAAAGAAAAAGACAAAAAAAAAAAAAAAAATTAAAGCCCTTTTTGTTTTGCAGGCTATCTGCATCAAGAGAGCGAGGAGGAAACACACAGAATAGGCGAAGCCATTTCTAAGTTGTGTGTCTGTCAAGAGGCTCATATACAGATTGTATGAAGAACTCTCGCAACTGAACAAAAAAGGCCCTTGCTCCAGGGTGTGGTGGTGCAGGCTGGTAATCCCGGCCCGGCCCTCGGGAGGCTGAGGCAGGAGATCACTTTGAGTTCACAGCTATCCTAAACTACATAGTGAGATTTTGTCTCATAAAACCCCTAAACAAACAAACTAACTAACAGGAAAACAGCTCAAAACAATAGACAAAGGGTTTGAATACACATTTCTCAAGAGATTTGTAAGTGGCCCATAGCTCTCTCGGAAATGCAAGTAAAGACCACAGTGAGGGGGCTAGGGGTTTAGCTCAGCGGCTTAAGCACCTGCCTTGCAAGCAGGCGGTCGTGAGTTCGATCCCCGGTACCGATAAAAATGAAAAAGACAAAAAAAAAAAAAAAAAAAAAAAAAAAAGACCACAGTGAGAGCCTATTTCACACCTATGAGGTGGCCACAAACAAAAAGCTGGACAAGGGCAAAATGACGAGGAGAAATTGCAACCTTCCTATCTGCTGATGAGAATATGAGATGGCTTTGCAAAGGCTGCACAGCTCCTTAACGCTAGGCACGGAACCACAGATGGCTCAGCCACTCCACTTGCACACAGGAGAAATAGGAAGGCTTTGTTGGTTTGTTTGTTTGAGTCAGGGTCTCACTATGCAGTTCAGGCTGGCTTTGAGCTCACTTTGTGGCCCAGGCTGGTCTTGAATTTGCAATGATCCTCTTGCCTCAGCCTCCTGAGTGCTGGGATTACTGGGGGGCACCACGACGACCATGCTACTGGTTATTTAATGGCTACAGAGTTTCAGTTTTGCAGAATGGAAAGTGTTTTGGAGATTAGTTACGCAATATGAATGTACTTCACACCACTGAATTGTGCACTTTAAAGCCATTGTCCATAATTATTTATTTGAGAGGATGGTCTTGAACACATTATGAGGACCAGGTTGGCCTCAAACCTGCAGCTTACTCCTGCCTCAGCTTCCCGAGTACTGGGACTACAAGGGTGTGCATCTCCATGGCTGGCTATGGAGACAGTTTTAAAACTTTTAACACAAAGGGCCTGATAGCTGATTTGTTGTTTGCTTTTAGTGTGAGGAAGCCCTATATTAATTACTTCTCAACAAGAGTTTGGAAAGCCAAATGTGCATTTCAGCCTGCTTTTCCATCTTTATTTATTTTCTTTTTTCTTTTTTGGGGACAGGGTCTCACTATGTAGCCCAGGCTGGCCTTGAACTCTGGGCCACCCATCTGTCTCAGCCTCCCCAGTGCTGGGATCACAGGGGTACCACCATACCCAAGTCTTTCCATCATTCTGAATTTAACTTTGCCCTGAATCATTAATAGATAATATCTGTAAAAAAAGTATTTTGGCGGTTTACAATGTAAGAGAAAAACTTCAGAATAGATGCTACCGCAAAAATACCAAAAAGGACTGCGTTCAGCCTAAAGGGGGAAGCAAGTCCTATCTCAGGACAACCTGGAGGAAGCCGAGCATTATGTTAAGGGAACTAAATCCGCTGCAAGTGCTGGGAGGAGTCCAAATCAGAGACAGGAGAATACCCAGCCGGAGTGCCCAGGGACTGAGGGGTAAAGGGATAGGGGTGGCTATGCATGGATAGTGTTTCGTTTTTGCAAGATGAAAAAGTCTCAGCAACTTGTACAATAGTGCACACGTGGCTGAAACTACAGACCTGCACACTTAAAAATGGGTAAGAGGGCCGGGTCTGGTGGTGCACACCTGTAATCCCAGCACTCGGGAGGCTGAGGCAGGAGGATCCTGGAGATTTAGAGGCCAGTCTAACTAGACAATGAGATCCTATCTCAAATCCCAGCTGTAATCCAGGAGGCTGAGGTGGGAGGATCCATGAGAGTTGGAGACCAGCCTGGGCTACAAAGTAAGCTCAAGGCCATCCTGAACTGCACAGCAAGACCCTGTCTCAAACAAGACAAAAAACAAACAACAACAACAACAACAACAACAACAACAACACACACACACACACACAAAACCTGGGCAATTTTACGTGTTTGCCATATTAAAAAT